TGGCAGGGGGCTTCTTCCTGCTTTCCCTTTCGCCTCCCTGCATTGTGCCTACATATGCAAATTAACCTCCATCTTTGTTGTCAGTTAACTGCCATCTGAGTTGGCAGTTGATTTGCATATAGCCCTGATTAGCCAATGAAAAGGGTAGCTCGTATGCCAATTACCATTTTTCTCTTTTATTAGTGTAGATTATTAATATAATTGACTTAATATAAATTTATGTTGCTCTGAAAAAAGCTCCTAGATTTATTGAATTTCGAGTCCAGCCTGTGGTTGCCTTGGCAGGGCCAGGCCAAATCCCACAGGCAGGACGGTCCCCATCTCTGTTGCCAGAAGCCAATTCTAGCATGTCATAATCGCAAGAGTTTCATCAAAAGGTTGATGGAATTTGGGGACATGTAGTCACCTGTTGGGAATGGCTGAGGGCATTTCCCCAAACCTGAATAGGATACATTAAATTGATTGTGGCTGCCAGACAGCTCAGGGCATCTTAATCTACATGTTATTGCCTCCTACTGGCCAAACACCTGAACAGCCGTAGGCTAATTCCTCCATTCTGACAATGCTGTGTATACCCTTTGAAGTGTATATCTCTGCCTCACCCCAGGACAAGTTGTGTTAATAAAAATCATGGAGTCCTGAGATGAGAACTTAGATCAGCCGTGGGCAAACTATGGCCGAATCCGGCCGTTTGAAATGAATAAAACTATTGAAAAGAAAGACCGTACCTTTTTATGTAATGATGTTTACTTTGAATTTATATTAGTTCCCACAAACACTCCATCCATGCTTTTGTTCTGGCCCTGCGGTCCAGTTTAAGAACCCATTGTGGCCCTCGAGTCAAAAAGTTTGTCCACCCCTGACTTAGATCTTAGTTTCCTTTAAACTGGGTTCCTCTGACCCCCAAATGCCTTTCAAAATTATGCTTCGTCTCTGGACTCCTATTTAATCTACACACAGCCTTCTCCAGATTCCTGAACCCTTCTAGATGCCGGGACAAGAACCCCGGCACCTGTTATAGAGGTAAAGGGCAGGCCCAGGGAGTTTGGGAGTCACGAAGCTAAAAGTAAGACACCTGGGAGAGTGGGGAGGAAGGGGAAGAAGAAGGGAAGGGGAAAGGCTCTGGCTTGCTCCCAGGAGGGAGAGCGCACTGGGTCCTCTTTCCTAAGGGTTTCAAGCGTTGAGATTTTAGGGGAGATTCCGTGGAAAGATCCTAATAGAATATTCAGCAGCTTTCCAGGTATGTCCCTTTAGGGTTGTGGTCTCTACTAATTGATTTAATTACAGCTTTCTTTACCAGTTTGTTAATGTCACTCAAGGCTAAGAAAAATTCTCCCCTTAAACTATAGTCCCTTTATCGCCTTCCTTTCTCAGACAAATATCTGAAAACTGTAAACCATCTTCACAGCCTCCACTTCCTCACCACCCACTCACTACAGTAACTCTTCATATCTGGCTTCCTCACAGGTCACCCGCCTAAAACCCTGCTCTTAATCACCAAGTCGGATGATGGGTTCTTAGTTCTCACCTTCACTGACCCCTCTATCTGAAGGAGCAATCACACAACTGTACCGCCTTTTCAAAAAACATTCTTTTCTTTGCGGTGCCCAGGCACTATCCTGGCAACCTTCTGCTCTCTTGCCTCTTCCTCTGGTACCTCTTTTTCCACAGAACCTACAACTATGGGTTTTCTCTAAGGTTTTATTTCTTATTTTGTCCCAAGAGCTGCAAGTGCTGCATAGTTGACAAAGTGCTTTCAAATCTATTATCTCCTTTGTTCATCAGATCACTGCTCTGAAGCAGGCAGCTAGATTTATTATCCTCATCTCAAAAATGAGGAAGCTCAAGTACAGAAACGAAGAGACGTGCTCAAAGTTGAATACCGAATGAGTGCCAGAACTGCCTGTCTACACTTTTCTCCTTCACTGTGTACCTACCTCTACCCCCTGCCTTTCTTGACTCTCTGTAAGCAAGTCTTGAGTTTTTATTTGCAACTATCTCCCGTCTTAAGTTTCAGTCATAAACTGCTTATTGGAGGATTTTACATCTCAGACCTCAAGCTAATTATTCCCCAAAACGAACCACTTGTTTTCCTTCTCTAATTTTTCTATTTCTCCAGATATGAAATCATGAAGACAACAGTTGACCCCTCCCTTTGTCTTTTCTCCTATAACTAATTCACTATTTTGCCTTTACCATTCCTTTTCATCTGTCCCTTCTTCTCTATTTCCATATTACTCTCTTGGATCAGATCTACTTCCTCCCCAACTCCCTACCTTTTTTAATCACAGTCTCTTGATCTCTGTTCTCTCTCCCTCAGCCATTTGGCCTGCAGATCATGGTTAATTCTTCCTCAAATACTGCATTACTCTTACAGTTTCCAGGCTCAAAAACATTCAATGGCTAGTATTTAAGCACTTCAGGCAGGCACCCAGGCCTTTGATTAGGTGGTCTTACTCTTTTTGTTGTTGTTAATCATCACCTGAGGATATTTTTCCATTGTGTTTTAGAGAGAGTGAAGTGGAGGGGGGAAGACAGAGAGAAAGAAACCTCGATATGAAAGAGACATATAGATTAGGATATTTTCCCATTGTTTTTAAGAGAAAGTGAAGTGAGGGAGGGAGGGAGGGAGGGACGGAGGGAGGATGCGAGGGAGGGAGGGAGAGAGGGAGAGGGAGAGAGAGAGAGAGAGAGAAACCTAGATATGAAAGAGACACATCGATTAATTGCCTCCTACATGTGTCCCGAGCAGGACCAGGGATCAAGCTTGCACTGAGGCACATGCCCTTGACCGGAATCGAACCAAGGACCCTCCAGTCTGTAGGACGCCCTGTCCACTGAGCCAAACCAGCTAGGCCAGTGGTTCTCAACCTTCTGGCCCTTTAAATACAGTTCCTCATGTTGTGACCCAACCATAACATTATTTTCGTTGTCACTTCATAACTGTAATGTTGCTACTGTTATGAATCGTAATGTAAATATCTGATATGCAGGATGGTCTTAGGTGACCCCTGTGAAAGGGTCGTTCGACCGCCAAAGGGGTCGCAACCCACAGGTTGAGAACCGCTATCTTACTCTATCTTTTTAAGCTTAGTTCCCACTATTCCCTTACATAAACCTTCCAGTCAAATTACTACTTGCTGTCTTTGGACACAACTTTCTGTTCTACCTCAAAATGCTCCTTCTCTGTAATACTCTCTTTCCTCTGACTTTACTAACTCAGCTGGTCCTCAATATCTACTTCATGTTACTGCTGCATGTACACTTGCATGTGTGTTTGTGTCTCTTGTTCCACTAGCAGACACTGAAACTTATCTTTATAATCAGCCTAACAAAGTCCCCTTTGAATGAACGTTTCAGGCCTAATAGGTATGCTTGGATATAACAAGCAGGTCAGGTCTTGACTTTCAAAGGGCCATATGCTTGCTCCAAGTTGCCCCTTCCTTTTCTCTAGGCTAGATGTAACAACCATTAATAAATGTAGAACAACAGAACTAAGTTGTTCTGACTTCACTAGTGGTATTCAAACACTACTCTGCAGGAGAGTCCTGTGGCCACTGTCTGTCAGGTGTGTGTGCTGGGGGCGGGGGTGGGGGTTGTCTGAGGTGGGGGGATACACAGAGAAGGGTGTGATATTGAGGATGACAGGCAAGTGGGTGTGCCCCTAGAACTCCCCATCCCCAAATTAATCAGAGCTCTGCCTTCATTTGTTTTATATATTGAGCCTCAACTGCATTGCACTATGGCTCTCCTGTTTTCAGAAGAGGACTGCTTAGTTACATTAGTTGGTAAAATGATTACTCTGGCAGTAATTTGAAAAAAGTAGTAAGTAAACATTCAGTATTAAATATTAAAATTTATATAAAACAGAAAGTTACCTCAAAATAAAAGATTTCATTAAACTGTGGATTGCTTGTTTTCTTCTTTACTTTTGTCTTCTTTTGGTCATTCCTGTTCCAATGTGGTAGAGTTTTACCTTGTAGAACTTAACAGCACACAATTATAAAACATGCTATTTCCAACCAAGGAGCCTGACCTCTGTTCAGCTGTTAAGATGCCTCAGGGAAGACTGCAGTTTTAAATATTACTTGGGGGCGGTGGGGGGGGCAGCAAATGAGGTGTCTAAAAATTCAAATCAAAGAATACTCAAGTTTTGTGTACCTGATATATAGCAAAACTGTATGCTTCTCTCTATGGCTATACCAGATTAACTGCCAAGCTTATGCCAGGGGTTTTAATAACACATTCTAAGATATATGAAACTTAGAATAAACGGCAGAAGGAAGACAGTGAGATTCAGAGTGCCCTTACCTATGTTGAAAAATATCTGAGAAACACAAAAAGCATTCTTAACTCAGTTTACTTCCTGGGCTTCAGCTACAATGTGACTTTATAAAAAAAAATTTTTTTTAAATTTATTTTGAACTAATTATAGATTCAGAGGAGGTTACAAAAAATAGGGAAGTCCCACACAGCCTTTCCCCAGCCTCCTCCAAAGTTAACATCATATACAATTATATTACAATATCAAAACAAATAGTGATTTTCTATAAAAAAAATTCATATGCCAAAAAGTTTCTATCTGTATGTCACTAAACAATTACACTTAAGAATTTGCCTATCAGGTATAGACTACAAAGACAGAAACCAAAAACAACTCAACCAGGTTAAATATTTTTAACACATAAAATTAAATTCCTCCGACAGCATGAATGTAATAAGACTGGGTATCTATCTCCTTTTAAATTTAAAACCATATATGTTAATAGCATACCATTGTTTGAGTACCCAATAAATACCAGGCATGGTGCTAGATATTTTACACACATACACAAATTTTTTCAAGTGACTCACTGGTGATTTTCTAAAAAATAAGAATACCTAGAGAGCTTGGGACTGGGGAGAAGGAATGTGTGTCTGTGTGTTGAGTGTTGTGTTTGTGTAGGGGGAATATTGTGCTCTGTTTCCTGATTCTAAACCTTCCAGTTGTAGATAAATTTCAGACTAGTCAGGCTCTGAAAAAAACCATAATGAAGTTATAAACTACCAAACAGTACAAAGTGCTACAAGCTTCCCTTAAATTAGCCTGATTAAGTTAATGATTCGGTGGGTGCACTCCATGTCCTGGTACTTGAGCACTTTGTCTACACCTCAAATTCTCAGCACAGATGCCGTGAGTAGATAAGGCAGTTTTGGTCCTGAGCTGCTTTCCAGGTAACAATATGGAAACTAAAACTGATGTTCCTTCCCAACAGCCTAAGAGTCTGGCAGATTTGAAATGATATCCATTTTCTTTCTATAAAAATAGGACTCGGTTGTTTACAAGTATATAATAGAACTCACTAAAGATTTTTCTTTCAAAGCCTTATTTTGTGTCACAAATAGCTACTTAGCATTTGCTCTTAGAACCTTAATTTTATAATTCTTACATCAAACTTTAAAACTTAAAAATCTCATAATTCAATAAACATTACCTAGAAGGGCCCACTAGAGAAACTGTTGCATAAGGGTCACAGCTTTGTCCATTTATGAGAGGCAACCCATGGCATGCCTTGATGCTAAGGGAAGAATAAAAGAAAATTAATATGTAATTCAGGTTAGGCAATATAAGACATTATTTTTAAATACAAATTAACATATTCAAAGAGTTAAAATTATTTTCCACATGCTTGGTGTTATATAACACCTACCCCAAATATATGTATGTATGCCTGCATTTATTTATGCTATAATCCCAAAACAGGGTTATACAATCAGTACTGAGACTACCAAATAATATTTAGCATACATATCCTCTCTAAATATCTAACAAGGTACATTTTGTGGTTTGACAATATATTAAAACTGCTGTGGCTTCTAAAAAGGAAAAGAAAGCGGTGTGAACCTTAAAGGTGAAACTACAAAACTTAGCCAGATCTGTGGCAGCACATCCTCTGCTAAAAGCATGAATGAGAAACAAGGAAACAACTGTGGTTTCCACTTAAAATCTGATTCAAAAAGGAATGACACCATGTACCCGCCAGGAGGGGAGATATCCGGCTTTGTGGGCCCTTTGACCTCCTGGGTGGTTCAGGGTATCCTGGCCTTTCTCTGGAAACTCCCATCCCGCTCTAATGCTGGTTGTGCTGTGAGGAACCACATTGGAACCTGATGGAAAGGCCTGTGCATCACATGGAGCTGTGATTCACTGACTTCACAACCCTACTCCTGACAAGTACACTAGACCTGTGATAGGAATACCTTCCATTGGTTTCAGTGAATATGTTTCTTAATGGTGTAAATTTTCAAATTTCATATTTGTTAGATATCTTTAGGAATTAAAGGGGCCAAGTCAATACTTGAAAAAAGGGAAATGTAGCTTGGCCTCTTTTCCTTCAAACTTATCCTGAGCTACCCTGTTAAATAAATTTGTGCTGCCAATTTTTTAATGTTCTATTCTCATAGCAACAGGCTGTGATGTCAGAGGGTTATTTATTACAAAATTTATTTAAAAAATATGCTAGGCTGTGAAGCAGAAAGTTCTGATTTAATTGCATGCTATTCAACAATCATGTTATGTAAATAAAAATAGAAACAGATATAGAAAATAAAAAACTCAAAATAACAACAAAATCTGATTCATATATGGAGGGCAAGCCCCAGATGAGTTTGTATGTAGCCTTTTATTCTGATTCTCAGCAACAGCTCCTGCATCATTCTGTTGAAAATGTTTTAAACCATAAAAACCAAGGAATCTAATCCACTCCATGGGTAACAGCAGTTGGTATTTAGAGAGATCACAAAATCTGGCTCAATGACCTGCTCCTCAAATTTTCTCACAAAATATTATTGAGTTCATGAATTCAGTTTAATATCTATCTGGCATTTCCTAATGCCTAAGAGAAGTATTCTTCATTGAAAGATGTGGGCTATTGAGCAACATCCTCATTTCTCTCCACAACCCACAGATCATATATGTGGTGAAGTACAAATGGTGTAATGCCGAGTAAAGAAAGGAATGATAATATGACTCATTTCTATTAAATTGGTATCAAAAACAAATTTTAAAAATTTCTGAAACTAACCAAAGAAAGCACAGGCCAAGACAATGATTCTGGTTATTAATGTTAGGCTTAGGTACAATCAAATTTTCCCACTGTACATACTGTGTGAAACTTACATTTCTCAGGCTAAACCTCAGAATGATACCTGATTTTTATATAGCATTTGCAGTTCACTATGCATTTTCACAAAAGCATTCAATTCTCACAACTGCTTTGGAGTATCAAAGAGTACCATCATGCCATTTTAAAAAAGAAGGCCCAAAAAGGTTATGTCAGAAAGTAACAAAATAAGGCTAACAAGGTAACACAAAATTTGTAAGAAGTGGGCCAAGACTCAACTTTACTTTCTTACTTGTGTCTAAGGTCTAGCATCCTTCTACATTCCCCGGTGCCTGAATACACTGTATTACTCTCCTTGTAATACAAATGTGTCTCATGTAAACACTAATTATGAGAATCTTAATTATAGAAATTTACTATAATTGTATGAAGTATAAAAAACTGAGAAAAATGCAGTATACAAAGACTTCTATAATACCCCAAAACAATGATACTTATAAGTCTATAAAAATCATCAGAAATATTCAATTTTTAAATATAAGAGTTTAAAAATTGAGTTTTGTGCAAAACAAGTAATATTATAAATATAGATTATTTTATTTGCTACATATATTACGAAATACTGTGTTTCTAATACATAGGATACAACTATTCTTCTAATTAGTAAACCAAGTAGTTTCATATCATAAACCATAGATGAGCAGAAAATACTGAAAATGACCACCATAGCATACATTATCTTATATCTTATTTATACATCAGATATAAAGCATTTGATATTAATATATTTATTTTTAGAAATTACAAAGGAAAATAAATTTAGTCCAAACTAGTTTATAATATAGAGTGATTTGATTCTTTTCCTTGGATTTTTTTTTTTAACTAAAAGACAAATGTTAACTTCTTCATATATCCAAGATGAAAGAACAGGAAATAGATTTACCCTCCCACTAGAAAAATCTTTATTTAAAAAAGGACAAAATCAGTAGCACAGGATAGTCATTTCTGAGGAGGGAATAAACAAGGTGAGCCCTCCAAATGTCCCAGCTTACAGTTATATAGTTTTCCTGGGAAGAGGAGGGAGAATTGTCAGTTGGGGAAGGCTAAAGTGACTTGAATTTCCAGGGCAGAATGCTGAAGGAAAGAAAACTGCACACAGAAAAAAATACCTCCAGAAAGGTACAAGAATGCTGAGTGCTGATAAGCATACACATATGAGGAAACTACTAGAGGCTTGGGAAAGAACCATTTGAAAAGAGCAAAGGGAACAATTCCTGAAGCCCACAAGTGGCTAGAAAGAGGTCTAAGCAGCCACAGAAAACTGGGTGCTGCCTCAATAGTGAGAGAATATAAGCCCTAGACAAAAGGCCAACTCTTGTTCCATCTAATAAAGCTTAAAAGCAAAACACAAAAGAATTAAACTATTTCCAGGTAACTGAGTCCTTAAGTATATTCATGGGAATATATACAAAAATATCCAGCAACTTCACAAAGTATAGTTCCAACAAACACAAAGAATCAAAAAAATATGACTCACAATGAAAAAGAAAAACAAATCAATAGTAACAGGACCAAAAATGACATGGATGATAGAACTAGTAAATAAGGATATTAAAAATCAGTTATTAAACTGCATTTCATATGTTTGGTATAGACACAGAAGACAGTAAAAATTTAATTAAAAATGTAAGTCTAGAGATGAAAAACACAGGCCTCACAAGAAAAACAAACTAAATGGGAGTAACAGAAGATTCAATACTGCAGAAGAAAAGATTAGACAAAAAGACAGAACAATAAACACATTAAAAAGATGTGTAAATGGTCTAAACATGCCAATTAAAAAGCAGAGATTTTCAGATTGAAGAAAAAAAGAAAATTATATGCTACCTATAAGAAACGCACTTTAAATAAAAAGGTAAAATTAGGTTAAAAGTAAAAGAATGGAAAAATACATACTATGCTAATACTTAATCAAAAGAACACTCAGTATGTATATGGGTAATAGCAACCCAAATGTCCATCAGTAGGGCTCTGATCAAATGGGCTACTGTAAATCTTTATATTGGAATCTATGCAGTTGTCAAAAAGAATAAGGTAAATATTCTCTAATTACTCTGACATGGAGTGATTTTCAGGATATATTATTAAGTAAAAAAAGAGGAAGTTACAGAACACTACACTTTGTGTAAGAATTGAATGGGAAATGTAAATGTATTTTTATTTATATACTAGAGGCCCGGTGCATGAAATTCGTGCACTGGGGGGTGGGGGTCCCTCAGCCCAGCCTGCTCCCCCTCACAGTCTGGGAGCCCTCAGTGGATGTCCTACTGATGGCCCAGGGAGCAGGCCTAAGCCACAGTCTGGCAGCAGAGGCCAGGCGCCGACTGAGCAGATCAGGGGAAGGTGCCACCCTTGTCACCCTGCTGGGGCCTACCTTCAGCCACATCGCGGAGGCTTGGAGCAGGTGCCCCTCTGTGTTGATCTCTCAGGCTCCTGCTGTGCCTGCGTGTTGTTCTCTCCCTTGAGTGGCGGCCAGGGCAGGCAGGAAGCTTGGCTTCCTTCATCGCTAGGGAAACCCAAGCCTCCAGCTCCATGGCTGCCGCCATCTTTGTTGGGTTAATTTGCATACTTGCCCTGATTGGCTGGAAGGTGTAACAGAGTGACACCAATTTGCATGTTTCTCTTTTATTAGTGTAGATGTATGTATGTGTATTTGCTTATATTTTCAAAAATAATGGGGGAAAAGTCCAAAACTTTTAAATATAAGAGTAAGGAGGCTACAGAGTTGGGAATGGATGTGATACTTCCCCAAATATGTCTTATGTAAGTTCTGACTTTGGAAACATAAAAACCTTTACATATCAAAAGTAAAATTAAACTTAAGAAGTAATCCTTAAAAATAAAAACCTGAGAAACCACTAAAAAACAAAAAAGAATTAATTTCAAGGGACTAGAACACAGTATTTGACTACATCCTTAGTGACATATATTCTTAGAACAAATAACAGAAAGATCTCTTAAACTTCATTCAGTAACTAACTTAACTGTCAGTGGTAATATTGGCAATATTACTTTAAATTTATTTTTTATGTCTCACAAGATATAGAAGATAAGTAACTATGTTAATGTTAGAAATTAAGATTTTCATTAAGAGGAAAGAGATACAAATATAAATTAAATTATATTTAGAATGTGAATTAGAAACATTAAAAAAGGAAGAAAGATAGCCAGTCAAAATGGCTATACTAACATCAGACAAAGTAGATTTCACAACAAAGCGTTAGAGGGTCATTTTATAATGATGAAGAGTTCAACTTATCAAGGGGACATAAGAATCCTAAATGTTAAGCTCATAACATCAGAGCTACAAAATAAATGAAGTAAAAACTGATAGAAATTCAGGGAGGAAACAGACCTGATATAATTAACATTTATAAAAAATAGTCTTCCGGAGA